CGCGTATAAGATACAGGGTGTGTCTCCTAAAAAAAATAGTTATAATAACTGCAGTCACAGAAATGCATAATTATGGTACATCATAAAAGATTTACTGATCGGCTATCAATTAAAACGGCATAACCCATACGGCCTAATTTCAATCAGCACGGGATTGGCCTGCACGAGATGACAGAATGATACCACGATGAGGCCGTAGAGGGCCCAGAGCTTCCGCAAAGATCAGAATAAGAATCATTCCCACGAACACGCTTGGTTGCTGGGCGTTCGCCCTGAAAATCACAGCAACAAAATACCTACCCTCAGGATTTTCATCTATGACGTGATTAAAAGGGGAAACAAAATGGAGCACAGGCAGGTGCGCAGATGCTCACACGCCCAAGATAAGAAGATGAAGCAATACGACGATTGGGTGTCAGAAATGAAAGCATCATAAAGCATAGAAATGCAATAGGTAAACTACCAGGCCTCAAGTGCCAAACAAACGTACAGAAACGCAAAATGCTTGCAGAGATTACTCAAAAGTTGCACAAAATACAATTCTCAAACATACGAAGTTCCTTCAATTGATGCTAAATTCATTCATATGCAACTTGTCTCTCGAAATGCCAATTGCTACCAATTACATACAGCAACTATGACAGCAATGCTCTGATATTCCTCCAATACCTCCAATTAAGAAGATAAATAGTAGGTTCCTTGAAGTTTTACCAGGAGTCACAGAGTCTTATTTTTACTTTCATATGGTTGACAAGCCCATTTATCTTCAGTATCAATTTTTCATCTTACCATTGTTTGCACCTGTATTCTATTTCTAGGTGCAGGACTGCATGTAATTAAGCTACTTATCAAAATCAAGTACGAGACCGAAAAAGAAAAGGATAAAGTAAGAAAATACTTGTAAAAGAAAAGAAAAATAAAACATACCGAACTCCAGCATCACCAACAATTCCAATCGCCATTCCCGCAGAAAGTCCGGCAAGGCCACAGGCAAGGCCGGACGATAAGTGGGCATACCCATCGAAGAGATAGTAAGATTTTGCTTTCGGGTTAATTCCTGTACTAATAATAACAGCTATGATTAATCCATAAATACCCAGCACTCCAGCCATTACCACTGGGACAATGGATTTCATGACGAGCTCTGGCCTCATAACTCCCATAGAGGCCACGCCTACTCCACTCTTTGCTGTTCCGTAAGCGGCTCCCATACCTGATATTGAGTTTAGTGGGGGTAAAAACTAAGTATGTGAAATTTTCACTGTTATCTATTCCAAATCGTTGTTTGCTGGATTAGTACAGAGTACAAGAAATACAATCCCCAATCACTCGACTGCAAATTTTCAATGCTATCTGTTCCAAAGCGTTTTTTTCTGGGAGCGGAGTGCAATAAACAATACACAATATCACAGGATCAATGATTAAAGTAACTCGAATAAGCGCAAATCGAAAGAGAGGGTGGTGCATGGTTTCCCTGATCATCGAATAGGAAAGAGTTTCCCAGTTATTGAAAGTGAAACGTGCTAAAAAGTACTAATCTTCACACATAAGCTTCCACGATGTCATCAATGCGAAAATCCCTATGAAATTAATTTCTCATTCGGATTCCCTTTACTCAACTTCCAAGACGGAACTTAAAATTAATATCATAAATGGCAAGTTCGTTAATTGCATATTTCTTTGAACCAAACAGCCCGAAAACCATAAAATTACGCCCAAGTGCATTTACATAGAAGTTTAGAAAGTTACAGGAGAAGACAAGGGCAGCAGCAGCTCCAAGGAAGCCAAAGAATGGAGCAGTTTCGTCACCGCTGAAACCTGCCATCGTTAATCACTGTCGAAGAGGCAGAGGGATCTTTCTTTGTGGTAGGGATGACGAAGGCCGAGAGAGATCGGTTTCAATGATTGAGGGGGAAATTGTGAATCCGGGTGATGATCGCGCCAGCCACGGGGAATAGGGGAAGTTTCGCCCTGCCATCGCATTTACCATTATACCCTTGTCCCCTACTTAAGTACTTATTAACTGTTGAGCCTCATTCCCTCCCTTTCTATCTTCTCCTTTTTTCTTTTTTTAAATCACTAGATTAATATTTTAATAACTCATGCTTAAATCTTCTTAAAATTATTATTAAAAAATAAATTATAAAATAAATAAATAATAAGTTACACTTATTTAATTTTAATTTCAATAGTTTGCAAGTCCACTAATATTTTTTTAAATTTTTTATAAATAGTTTATAAAAAATTAAAATTTAACTAGTAAAATATCTTAATTTAATAAAAAAAAAAGGATGAGAAGGAAAAAAAAGAGGTTTCAAACGGGATGCCATTGCCATCACCTCCTTTTTTTGGTACTATGTCGTGGCACATTTTAAGGGGGTGTTTGGGTAAGAATAAAATCATGATTTCAAAAATACTTTTAAGGTATACGAAGTAAATATGTAAATAAATTTATTTCGATTTGTGAAAAATACTTCTAGGATTACCAAAAGACCTCCCAATAGGTCTTTCTCGCGTCGCGTTCTGATTGGGCTACGTCAAAGCCCATTGTTTTTTACAATCAGCTTCAATCACACAACCCATTTGATTTTGGGCCTCATTGCCAATATCAACCGAGGAAGCCCCTTCTTATTCTGGCTTATTTATGATATTTTATATTTGTCTAATAATATAATTATATAAGTATATTTAAATCATAGTAAATTCTAGATAATAATATAAAAAATTATATTTATGACAAATAGGAAAACCATGAAGTAAAACAAGAAAGAAAGTTATGATGTACGTTAAACATAATAGCACCTGATGGCCAAAAGAAACACACAAGAGCACCGCTTTAAACTACATGTCTTGTACCACTGTAACTAGTAACTTGGAAATAGAAAAAGGAAATATTAAACGAGAATGAGGCTAAAAGCACAGATGCTGGATCCTTTCACGCGGTTCTCCATAAATTTTATGGTCGATTTTTTTTTAATCATAATACTCCTCTCGGTCATTAATATATGACCTAATTTTTGAGTTGGTTTGGTCCTAAATATAAGACTCATTTCTCATATTTATCAATTTTTCTCTAAATTACTCCATAATAATCTCTTAACTATAATTAAATAGAAGAGGAGAGGAGGTATTAAAAAATATGATATGGTATTTTAGAAAAATGTGTCACTTTTCTTATAATTAACTAACTTACCTAACTTCCTTAATCTAATCAAATTAGTTAAATAGATCTTATATTAAGGGTCGGAGGAATATTAATTAGTATACTTTTGAGATCATTATCAGAGTCCAGAAAAAGAGAAGGCCACTGCCCAGGAATTCTCGAGAGAACCGAGAAAAAAGAGAATATTTAATAACGATATAAACGCGACCGGCGAGCCGTCTTTTGCAGAGAGAGTGAGAGGCTGAATCCTGCGGCAGTGTTTAACGATTGATAGGGGGAGATGTTCTTCTTCTTCGTTGGCGGGTTGGAGCAACAGGTGCGTCAGGTGCTGAAATCGGGTGTGGGCAGATGTATAAACTGTAGCTCGCCGGCCGATCTGGTGGAATACGAGAAGGTGCTGAAGCTCTTCTTCGTTCCCGTATGGCGGTGGCCCGGCAAGGAGCCTCTTTTGTATTGTAACAACTGCAAGTTCTTCTTCCCTCAATCCTACTCCTTGCCACCGCCGCCCCAGTCCACCACGTCACTGCCGGAAGTCTCCGATGTATTGCGTTGCCGATTCTGCGACCGGATTGTGGAGTCCGACTTCAGATTCTGCCCTTTCTGCGCGCGGCTCCGAACTGTAATTTACTTCTTATTCCCTCTGTCTGAGTTTTGGCTGTTGTTGACTGCGTATGAGAGTTTTGGAATGGTCGTTCGGTTCCAACTAAAGAATAAGATTAGAAGCGATTAGGTGTGATCACTGGTGTTGTATTCCGATTATGGACCTCAATGCTTATACGTAAATAAGATTCATGGAGTCTTGTGCCTATTTCGTTTATTCAACGAATTTATGACTGTCTAATTAGTAATGCCTGAATTCGTATGAACACGAATCATTCAGGACCCTCTAAATTATCTTTGAAAAAAAAAAATATACTTACACGATACCCAAGATGCCCCTCTTTCCGTGGTGAGGTGAAGCCACCAGTTGAGATGGTGGTGGTGGTAGAACAAAGATTATTTTTGCAAAGAGACATGAATTTGGGGATTGCCTCTGATCAATTAGCAGTGCCACCATGGCCCAAGGGGATGCCTCTGCAAGTGCCATGGGCAATGCCTTTATTAGAGTGAAGAAAGAGCAGCATAAAGCCGAAAACACTTACTATGGTAGACGCATTGAATACGACCCTTATTTACAGAGGATATGCATTTATATGCTGAATGGTCATACTCCACAGCTGATCCAAACAGCCGATTAAACAATAAAACCAAAGGGTCATTTTGCTCTTGGAGCAGGCGGATGGACAGCGTCCATGTTAATATGAATGCATCCATGAAATTTGGAGCTAATGCTAAGCATCTTAGGAAACTCCGAAACAGTGTGAAGCGGATATCCAGAGGACACGAGCTTCCTTCAGAGCATAAAATTTAAGAAAAATATTTACATCAAGTTTCTTATATCTATCGTGTTAAGATTTCAATCATATATGACTATGTGTTCTATTTTTTAAATATTAACATTTAATACTCCTCCGGTCCTTAATATAAGACCTATTTAACTAATTTGATTAGATTAAGAAAGTTAGGTAAGTTAGTTAATTATAAGAAATATGACACGTTTTTTCTAAAAATACTATAATCATCTTTCTTAATACTCTATCTTTCTCATCTACTTGGTTATAGTTGAGCGAATATCTATAAGGTTATTTAGAGAAAAATTGATAAATATGAAAAATGAATCTTATATTTAGGATTAAAACTAACTCAATAATTGGGTCCTATATTAAGGACAGGAAGAGTAACATTTAATTATAAATCCATATAAAATAAAATAGAAAACACATGGTCATGTATGGTTGGAGAACAATCGACCTAACACCAAGTCACCTCTTTGAACCATTTACGTTTTATAAAAAGTACAATACTTGCAAAACTATATTATATTATACATATTACAATACTATTTCTGATTTTTAATATAAAAGCTAATTTGACATTTAATTTGATTCTAAATATAAGACTTTAATCTACTTTATCTTTCATATTTATTTATTTATTTTCAAGGTTATCATATGTTAAATGTTTCGTCAAATAATAATTATACATATGATTAATAATGATATTTTAGGAAAGATAATATCTATTTGTTACAAATAACTAACTTAATAATTTTTTTTTATTTATATTCAATTTAGTTAACTAATTTTTATACTAAAGACATGAGACAGCATATTAATAGTAGAATTTAATTAAACAAACACCTAGATTTACAAAAATTTAATCGCGCCGGTGCAGAAGTACGGTTTTTTTTTTTTTTGGGGGATGCCACTCGCTTCTGGTGCTTTTGCGGTTTCGCCTCCAAGTTACGTTGGTTAAGAAGTTTTGCCCCCTTGTTTTTTGTTACCATGTTTCGTGAGGGTAATGAATGTCGAATAGTGATTGAGAGGCAAAGGGAAAGAAAACATCGAAACCCCACTAAACAGTTATCCACTGCTGTCTTTAATTTCCCTACCCTTGCGCTCATCATCATCGTCTTCTTCCTTCTTTGCTCTGGGTAGCAATCTTCCATCATAAAGCTGCGTGCTTTGGATTACTTTCTGTGCTCAAAGTCTCACCCAATCGCCTGAGACACGCTCGTTCCTCTTGCTAACTTCCAATCCATTTCCTTCTTTCGTCGCTGTCGCTCTTTCGCGTTGACCGTCGCTGTCGCGCGTTCAAGCTGCTGATCTCTGACATTAGATGGAGAAATCCGTGTTTAATAGAGATGCTCACCAGAATCGAACATTTTCCTATTCATGTTTTTCTCAGAGAGATGTCTGTTACAGGTTCAGTCTCTCCCTTTCCTCCCTCTCTCCAAGATTCTGCTCTGCTCTACCGAAATGTGTTCGCTCAATTTTACTGATCAATTTTTTTTTTTAAAAAAATCGTTGGGGAAGTTGGAATCTGAATTCCGTTTTGGCTTTCAGTCGTTAGTGTTTCAAGTGTAATAAATTCCATTTCAGAATACTGGTATGCAATTGAATCGAATTCTTGATTTTGGGGGGTGTCAAACGCAGTTGTCGTTGTCAAGAGTGAATGAGATTTTTAAGGGCTCTATTTTGTTATTTCAATTTCCTGTGTTGCGAATTATGACTGATGATAAGGATCACAAGATAAGAGGCCTTTTCCATGAGTGGTAGGTCTTTGCTAATCTTTGTGGGAAGTAGGAACACGTCATATAATGATAAGGGATACATGGATGATGCTCGAAGCAAAATTAAATTTAGATAAACAACGTACAGAACGTAAATGCTTTGAAAACTCTGTTCAGATGGCATTTTATTGAATCGCCCAACATGCCTTTAAATATGTATTGCAGCTGCGACGGATAGAAGAAACCAAATCACCCCATTCTTTAATTCAACCACAAGGGATAGAAATTACCAACAGACTAGAGAAAATATAGAGACAGAACGAACATCAAGTCTTTACCTGTGTCAATGATCTACTACTCCGGAATTTAAGCATTTACGGGTGACTTTAAAATCACATCTTCAACATAAGATACAGACCAATTTCTTCTTTATCAACTGAGAGAGAAACTTCGGTTGTTTTCCCCTTCTCCTGATCTCGAAGGGCGGGAAAATCTATACTTCGTTCGTATTCTGGATTTTGTAGTGATATAATTGATCTTGTTAATTTGAAGGATGCGGTGTAAGCTGCTATCATAATGCCACTTTTATGCATTATCTGTCTGCAGAAGAATGAAAAAAGATTGGATTGTGGACATTACTTTTAAATGTGATCAAATCGTCATGACAAAAACAAGCAAGGTCATGCTTAATTTGGGTCTTCCAGTCCCGTTTTGGAAACATCTTAAATTGGAGAAAGCTTGGTTTCCTCCTTTTCCTAGCTGAGTATGATAGTAGCAATCGCTTTTTCTCCCTCTTTTTCACTAGAGTATGTGATTTAGGCTGGTTTGAGTGTCCTAGTTTAGAAAATGTAGGGAGGGATTCTATATTTACATTCCACTCTCAAAGTAAAGAAGCCATATCTTGTATTTCCAATTACTTTCTTTTGTTCATTCTGGTTCGTTCTGCAGCAATTACTGTATCTTATTTTCTTTCTGTTTGATTTGGCAGCTGCGGTGCTTGTGGATATGAGCTGAATCTGACATCCTCCAACCGGAACACCTCAACCATCGGTTCGAAATACGGGAAATCCATAAAACGAGGTATAATATCATTCTTCAATATTGATGAAAGCAGATTTACGCAGGTTGATGAGATTCAATGCGTGCCCCATTTCTCAAAGCACTCTTGGGGTTTGTTTCGACGAAAAACAAAGCTCCTTTGCAGGAAGTGCGGTAACCATATTGGGAATGCGTACAACGGTCACAGTTCGACCCTTGTTCTTGTGTCTGATGGAACAGAGCCATCCTTAAGCAACGAAGCATCCCCTCATATGAAGTATGACATTCGCATCCGTGCATTGCAGCCTTCGTCTTCTGAGGAATGTGGAGCCCCTGTTTTGGCTTGACGTTTCTGCCCAAGTTTGTTTCCTCTCTTCTATACTGCTAATGCATAATGCCCCCCGCGGTCAGAAGATTCGTAGAGGAAGTAAAGTAGTGTACGTAACGTTATGGTAAGGTTTTTGTGTTCCTCCTTCTCGAAGGAAAGTTATTGATTGTTGATTAATGTGTACATGAGTTGTAAGAAGCAAACCGGAAGATATCACGTATTTGGGATTTTCAGAAATTGGATTAAAATGTACATCACTGGAAGATAAAATGTTGATTTGTTTGCAATAGGAGTTGTATAGTTCAGTATAACCGTGCGGGACAAGGTATTTAGTGCCAGGAGGATCTCGTCTCTTCTTCTTCCTCTCTCTTTCCCTTGCATCTCTTGTGGGGAGAAGAACTAGTGGGGATGTGGGATGATAAGAAGGGGTAAAGGAACAGAAAAAATAAGCGGAGAATCAATAGAACTGACATGTTTTCTCCAAAGCTTTTTTCCCAGAAGCAAAGAAATTTTGGAAAAGGATAAAGTATTATATTTTGGACAACGCGACGTAATATATATGTTCTCGCTTTTAAAGAGACATGAAAATCCTATGTCGATTTTATCATACCTTTTTTATTTTTTTATCTATCAAAATAAACCAAGAGAAAACATTTTTGCTTCCCTTTCCTCTTCTTTTAATTTCATCTCCTCCTATTCTCTTTATTCTATGTTTTTTTCAAGAGTTTTATCCCCAGAAGCAACAAGAGCTATGCGGTCCGCATCATGGTTCGGGGTACGGGAACCGCCAAAACTTGGCATTATTCTATTTTTATCAATCCAGACGAAGCATAGAACCAAGAAGTACTGGGCTTAGTTTCGAGGAAGAAATACCTGCATTTAAGATCCGATAGCGTGTTGAATAAGACCCTGCCTTTTATTCTTGCTTTAATTTGCTGAAATACCGAATACGAGAAGAGCTGTAGCTTTTTAATTAACATGCAAAATTATGTCGAAGGCATTTACCGTTTAAAAAATAAATTTGTGTCGTAGGCCTCCCAATAAATTCGCGCCTTGTTCTTCTTACCCTGCTTGTGCGCTCTTGTGTGTTGGGTGATAATAAAAGCCTCCCTTTAATGGCATGCCTGCTTTAATTTCCATTCTTTATTTTCTTGTTCTATAAGAGGCGCCGCGATTTGGAATCTGGTTATTCAAATGAAACATTCAACCAATATATTTTGTAATAAAACTGAAAAGGAAAAAAAAAAAGAATCACATGCTACCAGGCATATTTTTAAGGAGAAATGATATTTGTGTCTCAAATTTTTGTTTAATAGTGACGATTAAAGCCCAAATCATATTACTAAAGACGATCAATTGTAAATAAAAATTCAGATAATTATATGTATACATGATTTATGGTCACTTCTAATAATTTTCAAACAATATTCCTATTTACATATTACTACCCCGCACTTTATATTAGACTAGTTTGACATTCAATTTGGTTATAAATGTAAGACCTCAATCTATTTTATTTTTATATTTGTTTATTTTTTTACAAGTTTGTCCTTGTAATGGTTACATGTATTAAATGTTTCATCAAATGATAATTTTAACTAATACATACACATGATTAACGTTGATATATACACATGATTAACAATACTATTTTGTAAAAGTATTTAGTATAAATAACTAACTTAACTAATTTTTTTTAATATATTCAAATTATTCAACTAACTCTTGTATTAAAGATTGGGGATAGTATTTTTTTAGTAAAATTTGTTGATATCATCATTTTCTATTCAAGGTATAGTAATAAATATAATGTAATGTTCGTAGTGCTTCTTTGTCCCAATGAAAGAAGGAGATCAGTCAGCTCAGATCTGCTTTGCGTTGTTACCATTATCTATCTGGTAACATCCGATCGAACCTCGTATGATCAGGAAGGAATATAATGTCATTCATAACGGCCTTCGCGACTGTACTGTCACGACTCTAATCACTCTCTTACTTATCTTTGATGTCCTTCAAATTAATTAACAGCCTTGAAAACAACAAATTCCCAATAATAGTACAGCCTCTAATTGAATCGAGGCTATATATCATCCTCATTCCAATACGCAATGCAACTTTGTGTTTGCGTACGTCGAGGGCTTTGCTAGTAATCACAAAACAGGGTCGAGCATTTGTGGTACCACACACACACACACACGCACACAGAGAGAACCCCAGATTTCAGTGTAATCGGGCCAATGAAGTCTTCTAGCGCCACCAAGTTTCCCATGTCATACCCTTCTGGTTTATTTGTTTTGTGTTTGGCAACTACGTTGAACCCTGCGTTTGGCGCTCGAGTTTGTAAGTTTTCTGCAATCTTTAACTCCGGCGACTCTAACTCTGACACCGGCGGCACGGCGGCCGCCTTTTTAGCACCGCAGGCACCGTATGGGCAGACCTATTTTCACAGACCTTCGGGAAAGGTCTCCGATGGCCTCCTCATCATCGATTTCATTGGTATTCTAACGCTTCATTAATGCCTTGCTCTTTGGTTAAGCAATTCTACCCGTGATGCATTCATTATTAACAATTTACCCCGCCCATTCTCATTTTGAGGATACCAAATTGTCTTTGGTTTTCTGCTTTGTTATATAATATTGCAGAATATGGCATACAGAGGATTCTAAGGTTCATGATTTTGACTTTGCATTTCGCATTCGATTTTAAGCTGTGCTTTCATTAATGATACTCTTTCTGTTATAAAGCCAACTGCATGTTTTGTTGGGGTATGAACCCAAATCTCATTCTGCACAATGGAATTTAATAATAGCAACGTATATAATTGTATTTTCCTATCAAAATGAAGCTGTTTTTAACCTTGATCTGTTTGTTTTTACGATTTCAGCACAAAATTTTGGACTCCCATATCTTAGTGCATATCTTGATTCTCTGGGCACCAACTTCACGCACGGAGCAAACTTTGCAACGGCTGGATCGACAATCAAGACCCCACATTGTGGCCTTGTCGGATACAGTCCTTTCTTCCTCGACCTGCGGTTCAATCAATTTGCAGAATTCAAAAACAAGACACAATTAATTAGACATGAAGGTAAATAATTTTTAAGTAACTCGAGTTTTCACTAGTCTCAGTAGTCTGTAACATATTATAACTTTATAAAGCTTGATGCATACAAATTAGCAGCCATGCATGAACAAGTACTCTGATTTTTCAGCAGGAGTATTTGGAAGCTTCATGCCCAAAGACAAGTATTTTGCAAAAGCTTTGTACACATTTGATATCGGTCAGAACGATCTGGGTGCTGCCATTTATGACAAACAAGACCCTGCAAGAAATCGATGCTTCTATACCAGATGTAGTCAACGGCTTGGCAACTAATGTTAAGGTAGTTTAATACCCGTCCCATTATTGTCTATTTCGATAATGCATTAATTAATGCCTGGCTTTTCAATAACATAATAAATTCTGTTTTTTTTTTCTAAATTCACGAACTTGGGAATCAGAACATATACAATCTGGGAGCTAGAAATTTCTGGATATATGACACAGGACCCATCGGGTGCCTCCCTTATATGTTGGTCAAGTCCTCATCAGCCCAACGAGACGAGCTTGGTTGTGCAAAGCCTTACAATGAGTTAGCTCAGAAGTTCAACCACGAGTTGAAAGAAGCCGTAGTTCAGCTTCGAAAACATCTTCCTCATGCCGTAATCATACATGTAGATATCTACGCTGTCAAGTACTCTTTGATCAGCAACGCAGAGAAATACGGTGAGCCTAATGAAAAATAATCGCTTTGATCTATTTTTATGTACAAAGGATATACGTGGTGACGTGGGTGGATGGATTTGCAGGATTTGAGAAGCCAACAGTGGCATGTTGTGGGTATGGAGGGGAATACAACGATGGGAATGTGCAGTGTGGAAGAGTAGGGATGGTGAATGGTACTGAAACATTTGCTGGATCATGTGAAAAGCCATGGGTGAGAGTGAACTGGGATGGGATTCATTACACAGAAGCGGCTAACAAGTTCGTGTTCAACCAAATCTCCACCGGAGCATTCTCTGATCCACCCATTCCCCTGACTATGGCCTGCCAAAGACATTTCAACAAGAAGTTTCACTACTAGTGTTTTGCTTCCAGGCTAGAAACTGATTGAGATAGTTTTGTTAATGCAGTCTGTGGATGTGTTTCAATTATATTTATGAATCGATCAGGGGCCGAGGGAACAGATATATGTGGGATAAAGTTGGAGACAGCAATGAGGTAATATAGTATTGATTGAAGGTTAGTGAATGCATTCGCTTATTTAAATTCACTTGTCATCAAAATGGGCTCAAACATGTGAATCACTTGAAAGATATCAGCATGACACGAGATCGTGGTCATCAAAATATTTTGCCGATTGCAGCTAATGATGCGGTAATGCGGAGGGTCAAATGAGCTGATGTTTTTGTTGTTCCTTGGGCGGCTAAAAATTGAAGCATCAATACCAACGCCAATAACTATTGATTCTAATGAAAAGAGCTGTGTTGGCTTTAAGCATGAGGCTTTGAATGTGTAAATATGGAAATTAAATTATTTCTGAAAAGCTCATGCCAATTGAATCTCATCACGTAATACTTACTAGATCTCAGAAAATTATATTACTTTTAGATTCTAATTTAATATTCAATTTAATATTAAATATAAGATTCAATATACTTTATCTTTAATATTTATCTACTATTTTATCCTTAAGTAATCTCTATAATGGTTATATATATATATATTAAAAAGTTACTATTAACTAGTAATTCAAACAGACATGATTAAAAAAATATCTATTTAAAAAATTAATTAATTAAGTCTCAAAAGTAGGAGTATATGACATGGGGTTGGTTGCAACTTGCAAGTTGCAACGACGGGGCCGAGAAGACGTGCGTCGGCAACCTCTCCACGGTGATTGCAATAAACACTGATAAAAAATGGGCGAACGCGCTAAAGAGCGAAAGGAATGGATGAACAGAATCCAATGCGACTGCTAAAACCATTCTAATGATCATCGGACTACCTCTTTTTCTCTCTCCTTTGAGCGGCCCTTCACTAACTGCACTGACACTTTTGAAAATTACCGCATTCATTTAGTCTCCGGGCCTTTTCGTTAGCTGAACCGGCATTGATATTACATCTCTTCAATTATTTCCCTGTAAAATAATACTCTTCCGTTACTTAATGTAAGACCCATTTAACTAATTTGATTAGATTAAGGAAGTTAGGTAAGTTAGTTAATTATAAGAAATGTGATACGTTTTTCCTAAAACATCATAATCATCTTTTTTAATACCTAATCTCTCTCTTCTACTTGATTATGATTGAGGAAGTATCCATAGAGGTAATTTAGAGAAAATTGATAAATATGATAAATGGGTCTTATATTTAGGACCAAAACTAACTTAACAATTGAGTCCTATATTAAGGACCGGAGGAGTACGTCAACATTTTTTGAAAGGCCCCTTTTTCGCATCTGGAGAGATTTTTTTTCTTCTTCTTGAAATACAAGTGGCAAGCTCAAGATTGAAACATAAAACGATGGCAAAAAATAGGCAAAAGCATTGAAAGATAAAACAAAACTCAAAATGGGGAAAGCTGCTGGGAGATGGCTGGGCTGGGCCCTTTAATTAAAAAAGAGAAGAAAGCAAAATTGGTCTAGCCATCAAAACGCAGATTGTTTTTTCAGGGCCTGTGGCGAAGGGGTCTAGAAGCCTAAGATGATGGGAACCGGCCTTTCATTCAACCTTATCCAACGTGGACGCTACGAATTTCGAACGCTAATAAGCAATAATACAAACACCTATGAGCTGGGAATGTCCTGTGGTAGTGGTTGTTTATCCTAACAAGCAATGTTGTTAAGAGCATTAAAATCCTGTTGGGTCCAAAATCCTTTATTAATTTTCTCAATCCCTCATCCGTCGTGATGCTGCATCTTCCTTTTGCATATCAAAATTCTATAACCCTCCCGGCCGTTGGATCGTTCGGGAGAGAAAGCTGCATAAGGCACGTCATGGTTTCTTTCTGGGGATACGACCTTAGCTGTGGAGGGCGTTGGCAGGAGACGATTAAAATTATTGCAGTGACTGTGTAGTAAGTAATGCAGGGGACCCTTGTCTGATTCTGATCGCCCGGCAGTTTCGTCTTCCGGTTCAGGAAAGGCTCCTTCTTGTCACTTAATGCCGGCGCCGATGGAGTCTCCCTGCACCGCGAGGTTCGTTATCCCATTGTTCTCTTGTTTGGTGTATGCTTGTATTGCTGCCACATCTTCTTTGAACCCTGTATTGGTCACTCAAGCTTGTCAATTTCCGGCCATCTTTAACTTCGGCGACTCTAACTCCGATACTGGTGGCCTTGCTGCTTCCATTTGGTTGCCACCCCTACCATATGGCCAGACTTATTTTCGCCGACCTTCTGGAAGGTTCTCCGATGGCCGTCTCATTATCGATTTCATGGGTATTTATTCTTTTCATCTTCGCTTTCTGCTCTAATTCTTTCATTCCCCCACTTCCATTACTTTTATTCTGGATAAGCTCGATAATTGCTCTCTAATGTTGCCCTATAGTAATGATACATTGACAGGATAATCATCAATAAAAAAGTAATATGAATACACAATTCTAATTTCAGCTGAGAGTTTTGGACTTCCTTATCTGGATGCCTATCTCAATTCGCTGGGGACTAATTTCACACACGGAGCAAACTTCGCAACTTCAGCATCAACAATCAAACTCCCCTCCATTATTTTACCTCAACCAAATGGATTCAGCCCTTTCTACCTTGAAATACAGTACAATCAGTTTACGGAATTCATGTCAAAATCAGATTTTATTAGGCAACAAGGTAAACAATGGTGTCAGTTGATATTTTGAACTACTTTTCATTATTATTAATCTGAAACATACAACTCATATTGGCGTTGTCACAGGAGGTGTCTTTGCAAGTTTGATGCCAAAACATGAATACTTTCGTGATGCGTTGTACACATTTGATATTGGTCAAAACGACCTTGGCCGTGGGTTTTTTGGCAATAAGACTATAAAGGAAGTCATCGATTCTGTACCCTATATAATCGATAATTTCTCAAGAGATCTTGAGGTAGTTCAATACTCATCATCAACAACTATATATTTGAATTATGGTTGAGTCTTATTCTTGACTAATTTAACTCTTGTAAATTGATGGACTGGAAAATCAAGTACGTACACCATTTGGGAGCAAGATATCTTTGGATACACAACACAGGCCCCATCGGTTGTCTCCCTTATATTTTGGTCAAGTTCCCAGCAGCTGAACGAGATGAGTTTGGATGTGCAAAGGCTCCAAACGAAGTGGCTCAATACTTTAACCACAAATTAAAAGAAGCCATAGTTAAACTTCGGCTAAGCCTTTCTCCTCCCGCTGCAATCACATATGTTGACGTGTATTCTGTGAAGTATTCTCTTTACAGAAACCCAGAAAAATATGGTGAGCCAAATCGATATATGATAACATTTTGTGCACAGACTTGATTAATTTGCTGCTATATCATTGCTGATGTGGATGTGTGTGTGCAGGATTTGAGAAGCCATTGGAGGCATGTTGTGGGTATGGAGAGAAGTACAACTATGGGATTGTAGGGTGTGGGTCGTCAGAAGTGGTGAATGGAAGTGAAGTGTATGGAAGGGCTTGTGAGAAACCATCTGTGAGAGTGAATTGGGATGGCATTCACTATACAGAGGCTGCTAACAAATTCGTCTTCCATCGCATCTCTTCTGGAGCTTTCTCTCATCCTCCAACCCCACTGAACATGACTTGTCATCTCCCCCATAGTTAACAGTATTACACCTTAAAAGGATTCCAGTGATTCCAAATATGCTAGTCACTGCCTCCGTTTATGTCGAATAAGTTTTTAACATATGGTGCATCATTCATAACAATATTCATTGCTGTGATCGTTACCAGATCAATCTTTATATATTTCTAACTATACCGACGGCGAAGTATATTATTAAGTGGAAGACGCTACTTTAAAAATAAATAAATAATGTGAATAAAATACAAAATCATGTCTCCCGTGTTGAGAATCATTCAAAATCTCTGGCATAATTATTTGGGGGAAAAACATTTTTTTTCTCGCTTAATCTGGTGGGCTTTACTTTTCATTCACATTATAATTTTGTCAATATAGTCCCATATGAATAAGTTAATCCGTTTCTTTCAATCAGGCATGGTTTGACTCCGATTGATCAGAAATCGACAATGTAAATGCAATATTAAAATAGCATATTCAACCATGAAAATTCGGAAGTATTGAAAAAGGAGAAAGAGTTTACCGTACCCTACAAAGCTTGTTTTGGCATAAGCCTGAGAATTCAGAACTCAGGAAAAGAACATATTTATCATAAAATCATGACATGCGCTAATAATAACTTTATCATAAATCGTGATAAGTTTAGAACCGTTGCTATTTATTTTTTGTTTTTTCTCTTCCGTTTGAATCCATAGCAACCGATAATATTATTTCATTAGTGAAGGAAGGCTTAAACAATGGGAAAAGACAAAAAGTCAACCATTGTCAGAACCATAAAAAGACCCTAACTTCCTTCTTTTCTCTGTGTTTTGACCAATGGAGGCTCTTAGCTCTACCAAGCTTCCCTTCTCATTGCCTTGCTGCTTGGTGCTGCTGTGTATTGCAACCACGTTGTTGAACCCAGTTTCCGCCACTGAAGTTTGTAAATTTCCAGCCATCTTTAACTTTGGTGATTCTAACTCCGATACTGGTGGCTTCGCTGCTTCACTTGAAGCACTGGCCCCACCATATGGTGAGACATATTTTCACAGACCCGCAGGAAGGTTATCTGATGGCCGTCTCGTAATTGATTTCATAGGTATTTGTCTAACAATTGATCTTCACTTTCTGCTGCACATGTTTGCTTTCATATTCTCTGAGATGGGCTTCTTATTTCATCAATTTAAGTGGTAACATATATACCCTCGTCTTTGAAATACCCACGCAGCCACAATTTCGAATTTCTATTAGATAAGCATGCCTTTCATTTCTCCTGAGCTTAGAAAGTATGTGCCTTTGCTCTGCGATGTTAGAGACTGGAATACAGATGATATTGATGATGAAGAAGGGCCGGCACTAGTGGTGGTTTGATTAGAGCATCAATGCATTCAAAGCTACTTTAACTTTTTTTTTTTTTTTTTTTACACAAGTGAAAAGGTTTTTATTTTTTTGATTTTTGGGTGGAGGCCCAAATGACGCGCAGAGATTAATCATATTTTTGTACAACTTTTTGGAGTACACCCAGTGAAATATTTTTGCTTCCGACAAAACCATTTTTCCCGTCATTTCGTCTAAGTAGAGAATGAAGGTAATTTCCCATGTTGCAATATGCATCCATTAGAAAATAATTTAATATTTTGGAATTATTGGCTTCATGAATATCTGTGTAATTTCAGCTCAAAATTTTGGACTCCCTTATCTCAGTGCGTATCTTGATTCTCTTGGGACGAACTTCACACATGGAGCAAATTTTGCAACAGCAGCATCGACGATCACACTTCCCCCTAGCATCATACCAACAGGGGGTGGTTTCAGTCCCTTTTACCTTAATATCCAGTACTCTCAGTTCAAAGAATTCATACCCAGATCACAATTTATTCGACACCAAGGTAATTAATATGAATCATTATGATCTGTTTTGTGCTCTTCGATTCTCACTAGCAATCATTTATTTTGGGATTTGTATGAAATTGTTTGGCAGGAGGAATATTCACAACTCTGATGCCCAAAGAAAAGTATTTTGCTGAAGCTTTATACACATTCGACATCGGTCAGAATGACCTGGGCGCTGGCTTTTTTGGTAATAAAACTGTAGAACAAGTCAATGCTTCCGTACCTGATATGATCAATGCTTTCTCAACCAATCTTACGGTAATTATATATCCCAATATTACAATTTTGGATCATGCTTGGGCCTTTTTTCCTGCTGATTTTTTTGTTCTCAATTGATGGAACTCGATGACGAAGAGCATATACAATTTGGGAGCTAGGTCGTTCTGGATACACAATACAGGACCCATTGGATGCCTCCCTTACATTTTAGCCAACTTTTTATCTGCTGAAAGGGATGCATTTGGTTGTGCAAAGCGTTATAACGAAGTAGCCCAACATTTCAACTACAAGTTGAAGCAGGCAACATTTCAACTTCGAAAAGACCTCCCCCTAGCTGCAATCACATACGTAGATATTTACTCTGCCAAATATTCTCTGTTCAGCAACCCAAAGAAATACGGTAAGACTAGCTAACAATGACTACATCTCTATGCACAGACTCAAGACTTGACTTTAATATCGAATGTATAGGATTTGAGAAGCCACTGGTGGCATGTTGTGGATATGGAGGGCCGTACAACTTTGGCAGTGTTATATGTGGAGGCACGGTTACTGCGAATGGCACTGACATTTTTGTGGGATCGTGTGAAACACCATCAACTCGAGTGAATTGGGATGGAGTTCATTACACAGAGGCAGCAAACAAAGTCATCTTTGATCTAATCTCAAGCGGGGCTTTCTCAGATCCACCCATTCCCCTGAACATGGCATGTTACAGAAATGCTTCGGTGGTGACCTATCCCTCTTTAGCTGCAGGTCGCTTCGTCCGTACGTATTAAAATAAAGTGTGTTCTTCCATGCAAGCCACACTCATATAGTGGCACTCATTATTCATTATTTCTTGAGCTTTATTTTTATATGTTTCTTCCCTTCCCTCTTTCCCATCGATCTGTCTACCTATGTATGAACATTGCGTCCTTGCAAAGCATGGAAAACTCATGGTCGATGTCCATTAGAAGAGATAGTCCAATTGAACGCGACGTTATTTGTGATGAATTCACCCCCTCAAATGGTTATAACACTGAGTAATGAATTAGAACAATGAGCAATTGAAACTGTAAATGCTTATATTACTAATGGAAATGCTCAGCCACAGAGTCTCATTGCAAAATACTACCTTTGGTACTAATTTAATTCTAAGACCTCATTTGTAAACTATAAACGAGGTCTTATAATTAGGAAGGGAGGTAGTATATCCATACAACTTAGCAATTCAGAAAAAGAAAACAAATGCTGTCAGATGGAAGGGGATACTCAGGGAGAATCGAAAGAAAATTCATGGAGTTAGGAGCAGGGAAGCCAGGGGGAGAGAAACAACACAATTTCTTCACACCCAAGCCACCCTCTACCTCCATCTATGTGACCTGGTCGCTTCTTCGTTGTCAGTCCAACCTCCAAGCCTAATTACCCAATCTTTTGTACTATTTTCGGTTTGAATCATCCATATCTTATTTACATAGTCCACATTTGATTGATTGATTTATTTATTTAAAATAATTTTTTTAATATGTATAGAATCTAAAATAGGGATAATCTCTTAACTATCATTCTTTCAAAAAATAATTTTTCTTTTTACAAAGAATCAATTAAAGATTTTAAATTTGGGCTGTTTAAATCAAATATAAACAGTTAAAATCTGATGAGCTTAGAGTGCTTGTCAAAGTGATGAATACTGAAATTGGTTCTGTCCATAATATAATTAAGTCCACTCATCACATCAAATTTTTCCCTGCTCATTTTTGCCAAAATTCACAAAATCAAATAAATAACGTCAGGAAGGGGAAAAAAAAAAACTGAATAACGTCTGAAGCTACTATAAACACCCAAGTTTCCCAGGGATCTTTGTGTTCCACTGTGCAATACAACATTGATGTTAACATCATCAGTTGCTGTTATCGTAACCAACTCAATTCAATTTTATATTCTGACTATATTGATGATCGACGAAGGAAGTACATTATCAATTAAAAGATGCTATGATTGAAAAAAAATAATTTGAATACAATACAAATTGTCTGTTGTGTTACTTTGACAAGGTCAAACAATAAAAAATAACAATTCTATTTTGAGAAATCATTAAAAATCTTTGGCACAATTATTAGGGGAAAAAACAAATTTATTGCTTAATTTGTTGCACTTTGCTTTTCGTTGACATTCAAAAACGTATGAAAGACTTAAAGTAATGGAAAACTCTACTTAGATTATTTGTTTTGTAATGATGTGCTTGTAGCTAAAATGATTTTATAATTTAGTCAATGTTATTATAATTTTGTCATAATATTGGTATACAAGTTACTCTGTTTCCTTCACTTAGGTATGGTTTGACTTTGATTGATTAGAAAAAGTTACACGCCAGCAATATTAATGTAATGCATACCGAAGTCTATGCATGAGTTTAGGAAAATATCATTTGTATTTGAAGTGTTAACGACGGAACCCAATCTCAGCTCTAGCAATCATGACATACGCTAATAATAATTTTTTATCTCGTCAAAACATGATAAGTATAAAACCTTTACCTATTTATTTTCTGTGTTTTATTTCTTCTGGATCCGTAGCAGGCGACAATATCATCTCATCAGTGAAGGAAGGTTTAAACAATGGAGAAAGTCAACCATTGGCAATCGGCAGTACCATAAAAGGCTCCAAGTTTGCTTTCTTTTCTCTGTGTACTGAATTGACCAATGGAGTCTCTTAGCACTCCTAAGCTTCCCTTCTCATTGCCTTATTGTTTGGTGCTTTTTTGTATCACAACCACCTTGTTGAACCAAGTTCAGGCCACTAAAGTTTGTAGATTTCCAGCCATCTTCAACTTTGGTGACTCCAACTCCGATACTGGTGGCTTTGATGCTTCTTTATTTGAACTAACACTACCTTATGGTCAGACCTATTTTCATAGACCAGCAGGAAGGGGTTCTGATGGCCGTCTCATCATCGATTTCATAGGTGCCTATTAATTTGCCTAATTGATCTTCTCTTCTTTTTTTTTTTTTGCTGCACATGTTTCCATTCTCAAGTGGTGACATGTGCTCTTTCAACTGAAAGAGCAATACACATTCCATTCCAGTTTTTGAATTCTGTTAGATAGCAACCTTTTGTCTTTTTTTAAAGGTTAGAAAAGCATGTTTATAATGTTTCAGAGCATGGAATACAGAGCATATTGATAGTGACAGTTAATTTTGACTCTGGTAGGTCAATCAAACTCAAAAGCATCAAACCAAGTCCTATTTCGCACGAACGACTTAGATTATAATTTATAAATTACAAGCTTATTTAGTGTTACCATGAAAGTTATGGATTATTAATCTTGATTTTTTTTTCTGGTTTTAATTCTAGCTCAAAGTTTTGGACTTCCCTATCTTAGTGCATATCTTGATTCTCTGGAGGCTAACTTTACGCACGGAGCAAACTTCGCAGCAGTGGCATCAACGATCTTACCTCCACCTAGTGTTATGCCCGTGGGTCGTTTCAGTCCTTTCTACCTTGATATGCAATACTCTCAGTTCAAAAGATTCATTCCCAGAACGCAATTTATCAGCCAACAGGGTATCCATTGACATATATAGCTATTTTGTCCATTCAGATCTTCATCAACACGAAAACATTTAACTGATAGAAATTTTCTTTTAGGAGGAGTATTTGCAAGCCTGGTGCCTAAAGAAGAGTATTTTGGTCAAGCTTTGTACACATTCGATATCGGTCAAAATGATCTTAACGCTGGCGTTTTTACTAACAAGACTGTGGAGCAGATTAATGCTTCCATCCCCGAAATAATCAGTGCTTTCTCAACAAATGTCAAGGTAACTTAATACACAATCATTGATAACTTGGATTACGCTCAGGTTCTAATTAATTTCTTACTAACTTTTTTTCAATTTCTAAAATGGCGAACTTGATGAAGAACATATACAATTTGGGAGGTAGATCGTATTGGATTCACAATACAGGACCTTTTGGATGTCTCCCTGATACTTTGACCAAATTCTCATCTATTGAAAAAGATGCGTCGGGTTGTGCAAAGTCATATAATGAACTAGCTCAAAACTTCAATCACAAGTTGAAGGAAGCCGTAGTTCAACTTCGAAAGGACCTCCCTTTAGCTGCCATCACATACGTAGATGTCTACTCCGTCAAGTATTCTCTGATCAGCGATGCGCAGAAATATGGTAAGATACACACAATGATCACAATTTTCATATGCGCAAATTTAGGATTATCTGAGGATGTGGAGTGGTAAAGTTGGTTTGATGAATATGTAGGTTTCGAGAAACCACTTGTGGCATGTTGTGGATATGGGGGGGAGTACAACCACGGCGATGTTAGGTGTGGAAACACAGTGACTGTGAATGGTACTGAGATTTTTGTGGGATCATGTGAAAACCCATCAACTCGAATAAGTTGGGACGGAGTTCATTACACAGAGGCAGCTAACAAAGTCGTCTTTGAACAAATCTCAAGTGGGGCTTTCTCAGATCCCCCCCTTCCCTTGAACAAGGCATGTTACAGAAATCATCAATAGATTGTAAACTCGTGATCTCTGGCAGCCAATCAATTCAGCTGTATCATACTACCTCCGGTCCTAATTATAAGACCCAGTTGACTAATTTGAGGAGATTAAGGAAGTAAGTTAAGTTAGTTATTTGTAACAAATAAGTTTGTCATTCCTAAATCCTTGCTAATTAAGTATGTTGGTTAGAACTATCATTATTAGAAGGACTATCTTGGAAAACAATGCATAAATACGAGAGACAAAATGGATTGGGGTCTTATAATTAGGACCAAACTAAAAGTCAACGGGGTCTTATATTAGGACCGGAGGTAGTATTTGATAACGTCACGCCGGTGCGTTTGGTTGGAACTTGGAAGGGAAGTAATCTTGTTTACTTCAAGAGGAGTGGGGAGTGGACCTAATAATAAGCTGGCAAATATAGTCTTATCATTTCTTTTTAAAATTTCGCTCTTTTTATTTTATAATATTTATATCAGAATTATTATTTCCTAATTTTTAAATCTCAAAAACCTATTAATTCATGTATATATGGAAAAATATATGTTATTATTTGCATCTTGAAGGGTGATTTTATTAATTCTAACGTGTTATATAACTAATTTTAATTCAATGTGCCTTTTAATATCTTCTACATCTCTAAATATGATAAAACTAAAAAAAAATGAGACACACTTCTTTAGAAGAAACTTGAAAATTTCGTCTCTATATTTATATATTATATATATAAGGAGACTTCGGGCCACGTTGCTGTAAATATTTCAATCCAAGCACGAAGGTTTTCGCGAAAAAACGGTGGGAAGTCAAAGACGTGAAATAAAGGTCATAATTAGCTGTATAAAAGGAACACGTGACTCTTTTCTTGGGAGGGCTGATGCTGAACAAGGATGCCAGGATCGGAGTAATTAATGCAGAAGAAAAGTCGAAGCCAATCCAACAAGCAGCTTGACGTCTAAAATGTGAATTATGTCAAATCTTCAAATTTCATCTGGATACATGACGTGCGTGGAGATTGAATTGATTGAGCTAAGATGCAAAAAGTCGGTTAAACACATAACTTCTTTGCGTATGGCGGACTGCAGATCAGTTCCGTCAAGATCATCTGTGAATGGGCCTCTTGACCCCCTGTTTAGCGAAGAAAATGGATAAAGCCTGGTCAAACTAAAATACAACCCTGCATTACATCACGCCTAGGACTAGGCAGGAAAAGCCCACCATTAGTTACACCATATAATTGCCCCAAGTTTCCTTATCATCTCTATATGCTTTTGGCCAATGGAGTCTCTTTACAACACCAAGTTTGTGATCTCATTCCTTCGTTGCTTGGTGATTTTATGTATTGCTAGCACGTTACTGAGCCCCGTTTTTGCAACTAAAGTGTGTGAATTTCCAGCCATCTTTAACTTCGGTGATTCTAACTCCGATACTGGAGGCTTGGCTGCTTCACTTGAAGCACCGACCCCACCGTATGGGGAGACATATTTTCACAGACCCGCAGGAAGGTTCTCTGACGGTCGTCTTGTCATTGATTTCATAGGTATTCGTCTGATAACTGATCTTCACTTTTTGCCGCACATGTTTGCTTTCTCAGTCACTTAGAGGGCCTTTTAGTTCAGCAATTTAAGTGGTAACATATACCCTTTTCACTGAAATACACATGCAGCCACAATTTCATTCTATTATTAGATAAGCATGCCTCTTCATTTATCTTGAATTTACAAATTATGTTTGTGTCTGCTCTGTGATGTTAGAGAATGGAATACAAAGGATGTTGATGATGAAGATGGCTTGGCAGTATTGGTAGTTTGATTAGTCCGTCAATGCGTTCAAAATCACTTACTTTGACTGTTGTTTTAACCAAAGTGGTCCATAATAGCGACTAGCAACTGAGAAGGTTTTTCTCCTTTTTTGAATTTTTTTCCTGGTGGAGGCTTTTTTTCTTGGCCAAACAGGTGGAGGCAATTAATGCACGTACAAAGATGGAATGTCACAAGAATTGTATTTTTGTAGAACTTTTGGCAATACACCGAAAAAAAAAATATACCATGTTCCCCCATCATTTCATCTTAGTGCAGAACGAAAGTTATTTTCCATGTTGTAATATACATCTATTAGAAAATAAATTAATATTTTTTATTTATTGTCTTCATGAGTATCTCTGTAATTTCAGCCCAAAATTTTGGACTCCCTTATCTCAGTGCGTATCTTGATTCTCTCGGGACCAACTTTACGCATGGAGCAAATTTTGCAACAGCAGCATCGACGATCACGCTTCCACCTAGCATCATACCAGGGGGTGGTTTCAGTCCCTTTTACCTTAACATCCAGTACTTTCAATTCAACGAGTTCATACCCAGAACACAATTTATTCGACGTCAAGGTGCTCATTAACATGAATCGTTGAGATCTGTTTTGTGCTTTTCGGTTCTTATAAGCAATAATTTATTCTGGGATTTGTATGAAATTGTTTGGTGTCAGGAGGAATATTCGCAAACCTGATGCCCAAAGAAAAGTATTTTGCTGAAGCTCTATACACATTTGATATCGGTCAAAATGATCTGGGGGCTGGCTTTTTCAATAACAAAACCGTAGAACAAGTCAAAGCTTCCATACCTGATATAATCAATACTTTCTCAACCAATCTCACGGTAATTATATATCCAAACATCACAGTTTTGAATTATGGTTGGGCCGTCCCCCCCCCCCCCTGCTGATTTTTTGTTCTAAATTGGTGTAACTCGATGATGAAGAGCATATACAATTTGGGAGCTAGGTCGTTCTGGATACATAATACAGGACCCATTGGATGCCTCCCTTACATTTTGGCCAACTTTTTATCTGCTGAAAGGGATGCATTTGGTTGTGCAAAGCCTTATAACGAAGTAGCTCAATACTTCAACTACAAGTTGAAGGAAGCAACAGTTCAACTTCGAAAAGACCTCCCACTAGCTGCAATCACATATGTAGATATTTATTCTGTCAAATATTCTCTGTTCAGCAACCCAAAGAAATACGGTAAGACTAGATAACAATGATTACATTTCTATGGACAGACTGACTTGATTAGTATTCATATGTGGATGTGAGTGGTAAAGTTGGGATGATGAATTTGTAGGATTCGAGAAGCCACTGGTGGCATGTTGTGGCTATGGAGGAGAGTACAACTTCGGGAGTGTTCTGTGCGGAGGCAAAGTTACTGTGAATGGCACTGACATTTTTGTGGGATCGTGTGAAACACCATCAACTCGAGTGAATTGGGATGGAATTCATTACACGGAAGCAGCAAACAAAGTCGTCTTTGATCAAATCTCAAGCGGGGCTTTCTCAGATCCACCCCTTCCCCTGAACAAGGCATGTTACAGAAATGCGTAGGTTATGACCTATTGCTCTTTAACTGCCACTGACTTCGTCCATATGTATTACAATAAACTGTATTCTTCAGTGCAGGCCGCACTCAGATAGCGGCACTCATTATTCACTATTTCATAAGCTATATGCGGATCCTCACGTTTGGTTGCATATGTTTACTGGTTTAGTCACTTAGACGGGTCTCTTCGTTAAGCAATTCAAGCAGTAACATTATGAGAATCAGAGTTCAGCCCGGACATTACAAACAAAAAATGTGTTGGGACTCTGTCCTTTTTTTTTTTTTGGTGGGGGGGGGAGTTAATGAAGCATTTAAATGAACAGTACTGTAAGAAGATGGAAAAGAATGATGTCATGGTGGATGTAGTAATTTAATTTCAACTGAAACGGAAAGGTGGTGAGAGGAAGGAAATAGAAGAACTGAAGATAATGGGGGAGATGGGTAGCAATTACTCCTCGGTCCTTAATATAGGAATTCTTGAGTTGGTTTTGGTCCTAATATAAGACCCATCATATTTATCAATTTTCTCTAAATTACCTCTATAGACACTCCCTCAACTATAATCAAATAGAAGAAGGAGATGAGGTATTAAAAAAGATGATTATGGTGTTTTAGGAAAATGTGTCACTTTTTTTATAATTAACTAACTTACCTAACTTCCTTAATCTAATCAAATTAGTTAAATGGGTCTTATATTAAGGACCGGAGGAGTATTATATAAAAGAAAAGGGAATAAGGAACAGGAAGGGAACATATGGTTAGGACTGTGGATCATCTCAGTCTGTTGTTTGATAAAGATATAGAAATACGGCAACTTTCAACTTTTCATGACCTTTGCCAATTATCAAACTTAAAGCAGTGATTGACCCTCCAAAAACTTAAAGTAGTGAGTGACCCCCCCCCCTCAAGCCCCATTGTCGTCACTTTGTCACTAGCTATTCAAATCAATCTTTAAGGCAAGCGCAACCATTCCATGATATATTAGTCACATTTCCTTCACAATTTATTTGTTGATTCAAGTTTAACTTTCACTTCCAGCAACTTTATTAATGCGGCTGTTACATAATTTTCTTTTTTAAATTTAAACACAGGGAAATCGACCATAGTTGCCACCTTGGTTGCTGTGAAAAGTGAGTTTTGCCTCTTAAAAAAAAAAACAACAAAGGAAGAAAGAGTTTGAATTCTGGTCTTTTAAATATCTTATGATGTGTCCCATGATCATCAAATCTATTGTCACACATATTCAAGCATGAGCATTTTTGATTATCTCAGCATCAACCCATAAACATTTTATTTGTACTTCTCAATTTTGATCCCGGCGATTTTTGTATCCCACATAATAAAATTAAATTTATTTCATGAATGCGATCATATTTTTCACAGCGATGTACAGAACACTGACACGTAAATTTAAGGGGAGCTTAGGTTTGGATTTATTCAGTTTCGCCATTTCAACCAAATGAGTTAACCTAGTTAAATGATTGAGAACTCCGCCTAATCAATGTGATGGTAGCATCTTAAACCTAATGCATCGTTGGCATTGAGGGGTACGTGGATCAATCATCATAGTTGGGGCCTTAACCTACCAAACAGATATTTACAAGTTAAAAGCCATGCGTGCCTTGGTTCTCATTCTCAAGTGCGCCACACAGCTCCCTTCTGTTCAAGCGATCAATTAGCCATCAAAATTGCTTTCTCTGAAAGGGAAATGCATTAATTCTCATTAGAATCTATGAAAGTTGCTCATTACACAACCCTTTTCAAGCGAACCTGAAACGTAATGATAAAGCTACGCAAACACTCTCTCGCAATAATTCAAATCTCAATCCTTTTCCTCCTACAAATATGCTCCTGTGATGGAAATGATGCCACACTTGCTATATGTCCTGCTGGTGATACACTTGTTGATTTAGGTTGGAAGGTATGTGTTGTCATTTTCCTCCCTTGAAGCTTTCCTCTATCAGCCATGTCCATTCCACTTGGGGGGTCCTATCGATTTGCCGCCCATTATTACATTGGTCAATTTCCAGGGGCCTAATCGGACATGCACACATGCATTCTGACTTGCACGTGGGAATAATATTATTGGGATTCATCATTGTTCTTGATTGCCAATACCTCTTCTGATTCATGTCTTGATGCAACTTTAAGACTAGTTTTATATTGGAGAATTGAATTCAATTCCAAGGAACTACACAGTGTTTCGCTTAGTGACAACAATAGGACAAAGTCCTATCGCGTCCGGCGTCCCCCAATAGGGCCCTTGTGCCTTACTGTTTCCCGCTATGGGTACCTAACATGGGGAGTTTGGCCAGTCCTGCACAGTTCATATAAGAAAATACTCAAACTGCTACCCCATTTTTAGTATAGAATATATCTTAAAATCAAAGCAATTTAATAAACTCTTTGCAGCTTGTGTGGACTATGGAGAAGCTTTAATAGAGAGAGATTGCACAACAAAATTAATGGACAAGAACTCCAAGCACTCAGACCTCAAAAGCATACTATTACAGAGCAGCTGTTGTTCTTCTTTTATGAACTGAAAAGGGCAAATCTTTTAGCCGAGTAAAGCTAGTATGAGTCTATCATCTATATAGTGTTGATATAACTTTTAGTATATAGTGACGGTGAGGAGTTTGGAGCAACCCCACCCACAACGAAAATTGAAAAGCCTTCTCCTTTATTTCAAATCCGCTGTCTTTCTCTTCGTCAGCGTCCTCATCCAACTCTTCCTCATCTTGACTCCTTCCACGTGGCCGTTCATGGATTTCTTCCATCTGATGACTTGGAACAGGTGCCCTATCCGCTTCCGCCACCTCAGCGGATCACGTGATTTCCCATGCTCTATCACCCTCTTCTTGGAGTCCTTGTTTGGGATCATCAGGCTGGCATGGTTCCAGGACATGTCGCAGTTATTCATAGTCACCTCAGACGCTGTGTTTTTCTCCCACGATGCTACCCCATTCCCTTCAAACTTGATTGATATGAATGACTCTGTAAATGAAAGGCTAATCTGGAACGTCATTATGGCTACCAACGCTTTAATAATCTTTGAAAAGAGAAAGAGCAGCAAAACTAGGATTAAAGGACAAAATAGAACTTCAAATTATGCAGTAGCAGTGCGCTGATGCACCTGAAGGAACTACCGGTGTTGGATTTTTAGAAGATCAGTTCATTTGATACTATGCCTACATACACATATGGTCACCTACTTGTTCTGTTCATTCTGTGAATTAGCATATCTTATATGATTAAAGGAGCAAGTCCGTTCAAAATCAAACATTCTTGGTTATCAGTATCACCCTTTTTTTCTTAAAAAAAAAAATCTTGCATTGGAAGCAGTGATATAGCTTTGGTCTTAGCGTTATTGATTATGAGTACTAAAACAAAAAGAAGACAACTTACCCAGTTTGTTGTGTACCCAAATTTCCCACCATATCCATATATAATATAATGTAGCAACAGTGTTAATTTGTTCAGTATCATAAGGGCTCTCGGGATTTGAATCAAGCTGCCAAATGACAGGCCAAATCCTCACCTGCTGCCTCACACTCTTGTCTTAACATCCACGCTTTTTGACCTTAGTTTTGTCACCACCCCAACCAAGTCGTGAACTCAAAGACACGCTCACATGCACTGCCCCTGCTAATTCTCCTCTCATAATGAAAGTCATTCATGGACACCAACAACCCCTGCCCCCACCTCACCATCAACGACTAATTGAAAGAAAATAAAATCAAAACCACCCACTATTATACTACTAATTATTATGCTTGACGCCCAGGGGGAAGAGAAAGGTTTCTCTCTGTCTTAGAAAATGTTTGAACAGAAAGCGAGAGATCGGAAGAAGAGGAAGAAGAAGAAGAGAAATTGACAGATGCGAGGCATTATTAGGGTATTACCTTCTGGACTGGAAGAGGAATGACAGTAATGGTCACGAGAGCGAGGACGAGAGAAAAGAAAACGAAAAGGAAAGATGCTTTGGATGGAAGAAGTTGACTGTGACTTGGTGCGAGTGGAAGCAGAGAGGCCCTGTTTTTCTGCTAAAATGAGGAGCTTCTCGTTCAAACACAAGGGACACACCCCCACAACCCTCTGTTTTGGGTGGAGATAGCAGCCACAGCTTTCCTCTGATCTCTTCTCATTCCGATTCATCTTATGCCTTTTCCCCAACAAAGAGAGAGCAGAGAAGAGGAATGCAAGCAGACCGGAAATCCAATGTTTGTGAGGAATGAAATAAAAATGATGCAGTCGCGTTTCTTGGACGTGCGTGTGGGTATGTATATATGATGGGAAACTAGAATCGAGAAACATGAGCATGCCCCACCAAATGAATCCCACTTCGAACGGTGGAACAGTGCCTTCTATTCTAGAGTAAATTTTATTTCATGGATTATTATTCAAGTACACGTGTGAAGAGCCAACAGCTTAGACCAGGGTAATAATAGATAAAGCTGTCGGATTTTGCTGGATGAGCATTTCCCCCCTTTTAGTTTTATTACCTCTTTGATAATTGTACCGTGGTATGGTGGATTGGTGGTATTTATAGTGATAAACAAAAAAAAAATGTTAAAAAGATATTTAAATATTTTATATAGCTTTAAAACACTTATTGGATATATGAAACATACATATTTAGTTGGCCAAAAGAAAAGACAAACACGTTAGGTTTCTACTTTCTAGTACTCTGTAATTCCCCACCTCCCACCTTGGTCGCAGGCTGGCACCAATAATATTCTCTTTTGTTTTGAATTTTGGGATTAAAAATAATATAAAATAATACCACCTGCTATCCAAAATATAAGATTTAGCAGTGCGGAGTTTTTTTTTTTTTTGTGCCTTTTCATATGAGAGAGAGTGAGAGTGAGTAGTGACCAAAGATCAATGAATGCCTTATTGTAATGGACTGCTCAATATATGTACAATTATACACGAAGTGACGCCGGCTAGCACAGCAAGTCAAACGGGTAAAACCGAAGCTAATTTTGTCGTTTAATTAACTCTTCAGAAATTAAAAGCGTCACTTGAATTCAGACTGTGTTTATAGTTGGAGAAAGTGTAGAAACAACCAAACAGGTTAGGGGGGAATCAATTTTGTCCGGAATATCAAATACTGCCACTGCATCACTGTGGATGCTTGCTGGGATGAATCCAAGGAACTGCATTGCCATCACAAGCAGGTGTTTCTGATACATAATATTTGCCTTGCAATGGTCACTCTTCTCTGAGGATGACACGCATATATCTGATTACTATTAAACTTAGCTCAGACATGGATGCCCAAATACAGGGAGCTAGGGTGGATTGCCTTCAGCGTTCAGATGAAAGTGTGGCAGACACAACAGTACGCGCACTCAGCTGCTGAGTGCTGTGCAGTATGAGACTAAAGTAGGAGTAGTTTGAGGAAAGAGTGAGGGCGAAAAGGAAACCACACCCTCAGAGAATGAGGTTGAAAAAACTCAAAAAGGGGAAATAATACTATAGTCGATGGAAACAAACAAGAGAAAGCAGGGGTCACATGGGGGGGACTGTTTCCCCACGACCTGGCTTCATCGCTTCACATGGCCTCTTCCCCTCCATTTTTTTCATTTTTCACCCAAAAAAACAAAACAACAGTGTCCCTGCAGTTTTAAGTTACTGATGGTTGGCTTCCCCTTCACCTCACCATCATCACTGTGCATGGAACTTCTCGTTCATGTGTCAATAACGTTTTGTAACCCTGGCAATCATATGTGCCTCTCTCGTGTTTCCTTGTGTGCAGGCAATGGCATTAGCCCCATTGACCCACGCCATATATATATATATATATATGCTACCTCCCACTTACATGAATGAGCCTAGGTCTTAGGGTATTAGCGAAATTGAAGTGCTTTTGAATGAATTGATGTTCACCTCAAAGTTTGCTCTCCCATTCATGTAATTCAAGGGTAGCTAACCCAATTAGTTTGATTGTGGAGGAGGTTGGGCCTCAACTTCTAGAGTGTGTTTGGATACTTATCATCAGAAAAACCTTCATTCCATCTTCCTTCTCTCATAAAAATTATATCTATCAACTTCCATACGAAATGATTTTCATGGACTAATCAAACATCAGCTAAGTAGTGCACCTACTCGAAAGAAACCTTTTTTTTTGGGGGGGGGGGGGTACATAAGAAGTTCAGGAAAAGAGAAACTAAGTGGGATTAGATCCCAAACAGTCCTTTTCTACCAGGTTCCTCACAGTACTCGAAAGAAACTGAATCAGCAGTTCATTGACATTGAAACCCATCCCTCCTCTGGGGACTGGTGTCTGAAGCACTGCCTCACTCTTTGGCGTCTAAGAAAAACCAACATCTCATTCAAACGCCACACACCCACCCACCCCCCAAAAAAAAAAAAAGAAGAAGAGAGAAGAACAGCATGCAACATAATCCTGTGTCACGAATCCGAAAAATAATTAATCGTGTCAAGACAACTGTGTCCTTCTGATTCATTTTAAGACATCAACTCATCTTTCTCTTTTGGGTGCGTGGAGATAACACGAGTCAGCGTCTAACAACAGTCAATGTATCAGTCGGATTATTTAACCTTTTTTTTTTTCCTTTTAATATTGCCGGCCAAAAAATTGAATAGTGATGTACTGCTCCGGTCTTAATATAAGACCTATTTAACTAATTTGATTAGATTAAGAAAGTTGGGTAATTTAGTTAATTATAAGAAAAGTGACATATTTTTACTAAAACACCATAATCATCTTTCTTAATACCCAATCTCCCTCTTCTACTTGATTATGGTTGAGAGTGTATCCATAGGGGTAATTTAGAGAAAATTGATAAATATAATAAATGGGTCTTATATTTAGGATCAAAACCAACTCAAAAATTGAGTCATATATTAAGGAGAGGAGGAGTAACATCTTTTAAGGGGGACATATTTTGGGCCTCAATTTTTGGACGCGGAAAATACAGCCCAGTTGACGGGCTGATCGACACGCCCATTGCCTATCATCTTTTTTTTTTTTTTTTGAAAATAAAGATGCCCGTGAACGCCCTGTTAATTCAAAATTTTCTGCAAAAAAAAAAAACTCAAATTTTATCAGAAATCCATATGTTTTATTAAAATATTAAGATAAAATTACATCTTCGATCCATTAATTTTGTATCATATTTTATTCTGATTTCTTGATTTTATAATGTACTCGTGTGATTATCTAATCATAACAGCGTTATTTTTATTTGCCAGAGATGCTGATATCGGGATCCCAAATATTGACCCAAAAAAAAAAAAACCCATTACTGTTGCATCATCACTCCCAATTGATCCTACGCGGTGAGGGAATTAGTCAAATTAATTATGGCAATTGCGTGTGGAGGAGCAGCGAAATTTATTTGTGATGCGTTTTGTTTTTGGAGATACCGATAATTCAATATGCCGTGCAATGCTTTGCTTGTTAAGATGACACCACTTATTAAGGCGCTAAGTGAGGCCGCGTAGTGCAACGAATTTGGAAAACTAGGCTTTGATTTCCATCAGTATTAAATTAAGCATCCAAATCATAAATGACGACTATTGTGTGGCGAGTGAGGACCCTAAATATTTTGGAATATTCGGTTTCTCTTTTTCAGGCTTGTGGGTTTTTTTTGGGGGGGGGGGGGGATAAAACGGCAAGTATATCATTTTGTTATTGCGAGACAAGCATTTCGTGTTCTTTTTGCAGTTCACGCAAGGATGTTTTGTGATATTGAGTAATGGATTGAGTAGGAAAATAACATGGGCAGCTGGTTAGGGCCTTAGGGGTTCTCTTTTTCACGTGTTCCTTCCTCCGCTTTGCCCCCACAAGGCTTCATTTGCCCATTACGCCCTCCTCCCGCACCAATTACAATGCGAAACGTTCAATATGGGACACTTTGCGTGCCCTACGCAAGTCCTGTCTCTACTGACTGCTTGTCAGGTTTTATAAATGGGAAAAAGTTATTTTTCATAAATGTCATGCCATATATATCAAGAAGGCTAATTATATTAGACAACCGCTAAGTGCCATGGTTATTGTTCATGGTGCGGAATTTATGAGGGGAATATAATCCAGGAAGAATTACAATCAAGTCTTGACAAAAAAAAATAATTATTAAAAGGTCTTAATAACAAACTAAACAGTCTGTAACGACAAATTTTAGAGTAAGAAATAACAACATCTAGATTTGTTTTGTAATTTTTTTTCTTGAGGCCTATTATAATTCTCTCCATAATTTAGCAAGTGGGTATGAATTAAAAAGTAAGAAAAAGGTGTGTGTGGATGAAGAGGGAAGGCATGTGGGTACAGGGAGGCCTAATTAAGTTGGGGCAATTTAGGGGGAAACCAGGAAAAGCAAGTCAATCAGTTAGGTGATATGTTGAAGACCAAGGCAAGAAATAGAACCCCGCCACTAGGGGCGTTGACACTGAATATGATTTGTGCTCTTCTTACTACTCCTCATATCCTAAATATAGGACCCTTATATAAATATATAAGGGTCTTATATTTAGGATCGGAGAAGTACAACCATATTTGCATCCTATCCCATGCATCATGTTCACACAGTGTTATTCCGCACGCGCTTGGACGGAGATCGGATTCTCCCACGATTTCTTTCTCTCATTTTTTCTTAGAATCTCATCAGATTAAAAAATAATACTAGAGCTAATTAAATAATTTAAACAGATTAAAAAATTTAATTTAATTAGTTATTTATAATAAATAGATATTATCTTTCTTAAAATATCCTTATCAATGTGTGTATTAGTTAAAATTATTGTGTGATGAAACTTTTAACATGTACACTACTGTCTTTTATATTTATAACCAAATTAAAGTTAAACCAGTTATTATATTAAATATCAGGAGGAAACTTTTAGATTTAATATTTTATAAAACTGTTCTGTAATATTACATGAAAAGAAGAGAGAAAATCAACATCCATCTTTTAAATAGAACAATAACATCCATTTTTCCCCTTCTATTCAAGGATATAGTTAACATTACTCTCGTAATTCTATTTATAAAGTAAAGAGAGAAGGTATTTTTTGGTCATATTTATAAGACACTGAGAAATTTTTTGTATGGATGTATAATTTTACTCTTCATTTATTATCATGTTGATTTTGTTTACATGAGATATAATATCCATTAAATAGGGAAAGTAAAAAAAAAATTGTTGAATTTTAAATGAGAATTAATGAAATTTAAGGTTTTTTTTTTAGTTTGTATGAAACATATTGAAAGTGACTTATAAATATGATCAAAAGAGTACAACGAAAAAAGCAGGGAGGGATGTTCATCTTCTCTAATTTAGGATTTTTTAAAAAATAATTTATAAATAATTTTTTAATCATAATTTATTAAATATGAGATAAATTATAAGAGAAGTTTAAGCGCACAAACCGTGTTTTCCAAACAAACAAGCCCTTCATTTCATCG